GAAGTTGCTGAGGATGTGTGGAATGAGGGGAGGAGATAAAGAAGGAGTGGGGTTCACATGCAGCACTTAATGCTTGTGTGATTTGGGGTGCATCACTTGCCCTCTTTAAACCTCAGCCTCCCTCTCTGTATTCATCAGGATTTTTTACAATCACTTAGGTTGCAAGCAACAGAAACTAATGCTAAGGAAGAAGTTGTGTTGAAGCAGCAAGTATGTATGAACACATCAGGGTGGCAGAAACATTGGCAACCTGGAAAATATAGCCCCACTGAAAAAAATTCACATTCAAGAAAAAGTTTGTATACTGCAATGGCCGCATAAATATGCCTATTGGCCACCTTCAGCCTCCAGGCCTCCAATCTGCAACATCCATCTCCAGGAAAGAGCCCAGGTTTCACACCTGGTGCCAAAACCCTGCTTGACCAGGGGTATTCAAACTCCAGGCTAGATGCCCAATTCTGGACAAAGGGGAAGGACTAAAGAGCAAGGCCTTAGGTGATAATGACTGTCTGGTTCTTGCCCAAGTCTGCAGACCCCAGCACTGGGCCCAGGACAGAGGCAGCCTCATGGAGTGCCCCAAGTCAGGATCCTTTGCTTAAGGTAAGAGTTGACATGACTTGGGGATATTTAAGTCTCAGCCCATCCAAGCCCATCCAAGGCTACACAGCTCATGGATGTATGATTCCATAGACGGGATCGACTGGGTCATGAACTCCATTGAAAAGTGAGGGTAGGGAAGGGGGCAGGAACCCACTCTCCTAAATAGGCAGCCAGTCACCAGCTGAAATCTCACAAGCCTCCACAGCCTCTCCCTCAGCCCCAAAGCCAATAAGTGGCCACCATGCCCAGCAACTTCTCCATTTATAGCTTTCCAATGCACCAGCACTACCCTTTCGCCACCATAAACACTTAGGTCAGACCTTGCCTCCCTACCAATGTGGTTGTCCATTAGCTGTGTGTGATTGCCAAGGGAAGGGACTGTGTTCTGGTCATTTCTCAGTCCCCAGCCCTAGGCCTGGCCCACAGTAGATGTATGGTAAGTGCTTTGGGTTGCTGACTACCCATAAAGAACCATGCTTGCCCTTCTGGGAATAATCTTGATGTGGATCAGGAGACCTGGGCTCATCCACTAGCATTAGGCTGGCCTTCTCCTCTCTAGTCCTCAGTTTTCTCATCTCTCTTTTTTTTTTTCTTTTTGGAGCCTTGCTCTGTCGCCCAGGCTGGAGTGCAGTGGCATGATCTCAGCTCACTGCAACCTCCATCTCCCTGGTTCAAGTGATTCTCCTGCCTCAGCCTCCTGAGTAGCTGAGATTACAGGCGCCTACCACCATGCCCAGCTAATTTTTGTAAGGACAGGGTTTCACCATGTTAGCCAGGCTGGTCTTGAACTCCTGACCTGAGGTGATCCCCTCCCTTGGCCTCCCAGAATGCTGGGATTACAGGCATGAGCCACCTTGCCCAGCCCCATTTTCCCATCTCTACAGCAGGGAAAGGATCCAATTTCTAAAGAACCTTCTGGTTCCTCTGACATCCTCTGGGATCAGCAACTCTGCTTTGTGACTCCAGAAAAACAGCTGCACCTTTGGCTGCTGTTGAAAGGGGTATGCCTACAGATGGGTAGAAATGGCGCTTCACACTCAGGAGATGCACTGGCACAGCTGTGGGCTCCACACTGAGGCTGGTGGGCAGCAGCGGGAGGTTAGGGGACCTGGAGTGATCAAGCAGTGTTAAGGTTATGAGCACTTGAGAGCAGCAGCAACAGGAGACTGAAACAGGACACCCAGCTGTGCGACTTGTCTGACCCACCACCAGATGACCCAAGCTAGTCCCATCATTGGAGCCAGCCCCCTTATTTGAGCCACAGATGAAGAGTGTCTGTCGGATCAGGTTTTGAACCTAGAGGTGCTAATGAAACAGGAGGCCACTTTCTAGGCCCTGAGATGATGTCACCATCATGAGGCAGGCAGAGGGGGTAGGATCAGTATGGTAGTCCCCTTCCTTACAGCCCCAACCTCCAGAGCAAAAGGTGCTGCCACATCTAAGCCCAGCTCCCCACCACCCTCTGCTATCAGATTGAAGCAAGAAATCCAGACTAGAAGAGGGCCATTGCAGAGTAAAGCTTTATGTGAAATTCTGTAAATGTGTATAGAGCTGCCCATGGCCCCCTGTGCTGGAGGCCTTGTCTGTGGAGACTCGGAGGCTCAGCACTTGCTGTAGATGGCCATGCTGCCCCGCTCCTGAAACTCTTCTTTGCTGACCCAGAGCTGTTGGAAGGCTTGCAGGGAGGCCAGGATGGAGCCGCCGGTCCACACAGAGGTCTTCCTTTCGGGACTGGCAGCCACCACAGGGCTGTCCCCGGGGCAGAGGAGGCTCAGCTCCCTCTGGAAGCGCTCGGGGAAGCCATCCAGCATGGTGCAGCCGCCACACAGCAGCATGTTGGTGACCATCGCCTCCCTGAAGCCCGCGTCCTGGCAGCGGCCCAGGCAGGCGGCCGTGAGCTCTGGGAGGCCAGGCTGGGTGCTGCCCGCCAGGGAGGGCTTGAAGAGCATCTCAGAGCAGCGGAAACGCTCCTGGCCGATGGTGATGAGCTTGCCATCTGGGAGCTCGTAGTCCACGCGCAGCTCCTCCGGGAGCAGGGCAAGCTCCTCCTCGGGCAGCAAGGCCGCATAGCAGCACTTCTTCTTGATGTGCTCTATGATGTGCAGGTGGTCGTCCGTGAATGCGTGGCCTGCCTCGTTGAGCAGCTGCATCAGGTAGTTGGTGAGGTCACCCCCAGCGTAGTCGGCGCGGCTGGTCAGGCCCGGCAGCACGTCGCCCTCGGAGATGGGCACCACGTGCGAGACGCCGTGCCCGCTCTCCACCACGAGCCCTGAGGTCTTGCCGTAGGAGTAGATGGACAGCAGCGACTGGGACGTCACGTGCATGGCGGGGATACCGAAGGCCTCGAACATGAGCTCCGCGTACTTCTCCCGGTTGCTGCTGGGGCTGAGCGGAGGGTCCGAGACCAGCACAGCGTGCTCCTCGGGGACGATCTTCATGGCGGTGCGGAAGATGTACTCCCAGATGTCCTGCACGCAGTCCCAGTCCACCACGACGCCGTGCTTCAGCGGGTTCACCAGCTTGAGAGGCGCCTCTGTGCTCAGCAGCTCATGGCCCACCAAGGTCTCCTTGCCGGTGTCACCGGCGTCGGCCGCCTCGGGGCAGCGTTTGCCCACAGTGGAGGAGATGAAGTAGGTGGGCCTCGGCTCTCCCGCGTAGCCGCACTTGCAGTACTGGGAGCCCAGGTCGATGATGATCGCCTTGATCTTGCGCACCTTCCTGGGCTTCATCTTGAGCTGAGTGGTCGCACCTGTGTCCCGGAGGCCGGCGTCAAGGCCTGGCAGCGTTCCTGCCTCTCCAGGGTCACCCTGAGCCGTGCCCAGGGGCATGGGGCTAAGGCTGTTCCTTGTTGCCATCTGCCTTCCTAGCACCCCTTCTCACATCCACAGCCTAGAGCTCCCTGCGGAGAAATGAGAGCTCACCTCCAGCAGTGCCGTGGCAACCACCAGGGATTGTGATGTCACTCTGGGCTGGTCCATTCAGGTAGCGGGGAGGGCGTGGCTTTGGCCAACTCTTGGCCTGTCACCCCCACCCCATCTCTCTCTCAGTGCCACTTGCTCTGTCCTGTGCGCCAGCAGGTGGCTGGCAGTTTTAGATATCCAAGCTCACTGAGGTCTCAGAGGCTTCTGCTTAGCCCCCTTGCATTTCCATGCCTAACCTGTTCACTACTGGACACCTTTCCTCCTCTGCTTCTTGGTGGAGAGGGCCTAAATATTTTAGCCCGTCCAGTAAGGCAGGCACTGTACTAGGTACTTCACTTATGTTGTTCTGCAGGTAGGCAGAGCTGAGGAACGAGGCTCAGAATTCTAAGGACTTGTCCAACAGCAAATAGCACTTGGGGTGTTTGTACTTTAACCCAGATTCATCAAACTCCAGTGCACCCGGCCTCCTTAACAGCCCCAAGAGTTCTTCCTCCCTTCTTTCAGCATTTACTGGGGTATGTAGTAGGTTCTGCCCAGTGCAGCCTACCAGTGATAGATGATAAAAACCCAGGCCACCAGTAGTGCCTGGTCTGGGTAAGAAGATGGAATAGATGCAGATGGGTTTGCAGGAAGAAGTCTACTTGAGAACTCATTTGACACAGGGAGTCAGAAAGTGCTCTAGAAAGGAGGTGATGCTTAAGTTGAATCCTGGAAGAGATGTAGGTATTTGCGAAGTAGTTAAGAGGAGGGGAAGACATCCCAGGCAGAAAGCACAACTTGAGCAAAGGCTCAGATGGAGGCATGGGGAAGAACTTCCCACAGGAAAGTGTCTGGAAAAACAGATGAAGCTAGAGAAGTCACAGAGCCAAACAGGGAGGGCATCAAATGCCAGAAGCAGGTTTAGACTACATTGAGGAGAGCCAGGGAACCTGTGAAGACTTTAAGCAGGGAGATGATCTGATTTGCCCTCTAGAAAAATGTTAGAAAGATCTGCATTTGGCTGTAATGTAGAGAATGGGTGGGAGGGGCAAGACTAGAAGCTGAGACCTGAAACGAGGTCATTGGAGAAATTCTAATAAGACTTGAAGGGGACATGACCTAGGGCTGTGAGTGTGTGGAAGCGAGGAAGAGCCTGGTTCTAGAGAAGTTCAGAAAGTAGAATAGTACCCTATCTGTTGTTTCCCCAAGCATCCCGCACTTCAATCCGAGCTCTGACTCTGGCATTTGAGGCCTTCCCTGATGGACTCTTGTGATGTTGGATGTGAGGCAGAGGGAAGGATGAATGCCTTACCTGTGCCCAAACAAAGAAAGATGGCCTGTCATCCAGAAAGGACAAATTCACTAGAGTGCCACAGGGACCTCCAACTTAAGCTGCCCCTCCCAGTCCAAAAATTAAAAAGTCAGATTAGGTGTTAGATATAGTGAACTCCAAGTTTCTCTTCAAAGAATCAGTGTGTCAGTATCTTCGGCTCTCTTATTCTTTAATTCTCCATTTTAAAGTTTAGTTTCCTAGCTCTCTGCCCCCCCCTTGCCTCAAGTTTCGGTAAACAACTTTCCCACCAGTTCCAATCAACTGTAACCATCGTTCTCACCAAACTACCTACCCCGCCACTCCAGCTCATACCCCTGCTCTCTTTAAAATAGCACACAAATGCAGAAAGGGCAATGAAAGATGACAGATGGGCAGGCCAGGACAGCCCAGGAAGAGCAAATGAGTCAGAGCCTGTCAGGCTTGGAATGTATCAGTGAAATAAGTGGAAGGCACAGGTCAGGTGAAAGGGTTCTCCAAAGGTGTCCACATCTTAATCCCTGGGACCTGTGAATATGTTAACTTTCATGCCAAAAGGGATTCTGTGGATGTGATTAAATGAAGGAATTTGAGATGGGGAGATTATCCTGTATTGTGTGAGTGGGGCCAATGTAATCCTTATGTGGGGGACACAGGAGGGTCAAGGGCAGAGAGATAGATGGTAGCTGTAGTCTGAGAAGGTCTTTCAAGGTAGAGGAAGCGACTGTGAGCCAAGAAACACAGGTGGCCTCTAGGAGCTGGAGAAGCAAGAGGAAGTATTTTTCCTATACTTCCAGAAGGAACACAGCCCTGAAAGAACCTTAATTGTAGCCCACTAAGAATTATAAACTTCTGACCTACAAAATAGTAAGATAATAGCTGTGAGTTGTTTTTAAGTTGTTTTAAGTCACTAAATCCATGGTAATTTGTTGTAGCAGAAACAGGAAGCTAATCTATGCTCTTCTAGAGTCCAGGTTAATAAAAAGGTACCGAGCAGCTACAGACTTCTCAAAATTCAAGTAGGAGTTTGGGGAGAAAAAAATAGAGGATTCTAAATTACATATGCCTTTGGTTACCATAGACACAACTTTTGAAACAAAGTCAAACAATCTGAGTTGGCCATGCAAATCCCTGAACAGCAGAGGCAATTAAACTATTTTTCAGGCAGCCAGGCATCGAAAGTACTTTCCCTTCGATGGAAAGTAAAATTCCATGCCATTATCTCATCCACTAACCAAGAAACTGAGATTTTGTCCTTGGGATGATACCTTGCTGCCCCCATCAGACAGTCACAAACCTCATGAGACTGGACTTCGTCCTTTTCTTCTCTCATACCCAACAGGAACTGAGAGCACCCCTGCAGCCTCTCTAAAGGAGAAAGCCCCTAATTGTGGTGACTGCCTCTTTTATGAATGGCTGGGATCAGGTTCAAGGTGTGACATAACGTAAGGTTGGATTCTGCCCTGAGTGTGGCAGGCATCCGCATCAATGTGTCCAGCCTCGGAAATGGCATGAGAGATGGTGGCCAAGCAGCCTGAGATGCACACTAGGTCCCATCAAGCTGTGTCCCAGCACATTCTGGGGAGAAAGCCACAGTCAGGAGAGCTTGGCTACTCCTGGTTGGGTATCTTTAGGTGAGCTATGCACCTGTGAGCCTTAATGTTGTCAGTGGGACTTTGTAGGGTCTAATTTCACTGCCTACCCAATGACCCTGATGAAGGCACAGTAGGTGTACAAATGTATATCCAAAAATAATTCCCCTTAAGTTGTTTTAAGTGTCACCCTTAGTACCCCTGACATAGTCACCAGAGCAGCAAAGGATCCCACTAACATCTACATCAGATGGTGTCAGTGCTCTGCGCCAAATCCTCTAGTGCTGTCTGACCTTATCCATGGTCCTCACATTGGCCTATGAGGCCTACCATGAGCTGCTCACCTTCCCCCACTCCTTACTAATCCTATCTCTTCTACTTTTCCTTACTCCTTCCATGCCAGCCACACCTGTCTTCTTGCTCCTCCTCTAAGTCAGGAGGTCAGCAAACTTTTAAGGGTCAGTCAGTATTTACTTTCATTCAGCTTTTTGGGCAATACTGTCTTCAATGGCATGACTCAGCTCTACTGTTGTACTGCAAAGGCAGCCGTGGCTGTCATGGCCATTTATACGCAGATGAATGAGCGTGGCTGTGTTCCAATAAGGTGATATCCAACAAGCCGGGGACTGGACTGGACTGTAGCCTGCTGACCCCTGCTCTAACCCTCAGTCACACATCTGCCTCCAGTCCTCTGCACCTGCTGCTCCCTGACATCCACGTGGATCTCTCCCTACCTCCTGCAGGTCTTCATTCAAACGCCACCCTCTCAGGAAGCCCTGCGCAGACCACACTAGCACTGCCACCCTGCTTTTGCTCTTAACGCTCATTTTGGTTATTGCCTGCCACCCCCAACCCCCACCAACTAGAATAAGAGATTTTTGTCTATTTTTTTCACCACTGAATTCCCAGCTGCCTTGTATATAGCAGGCACTCAATATTAATTAACTGAATAAATCAGGCTTGTTAGAAAATTTAGAAAAAGGGGAGCCATTTCAAAAACAATATCCCAAATGTACCCTAACACAGGATAAAGGTTTGCAGTATCTAGAAAGGCCAGGTCACCAGATTACGTCATAATTAGTGATGTCATTGTTGGGAAAATTCTCATGGCATCCTCTGATTTAGGCCTTTCAGCCTTGAATCCAGTGGGATTGAGGAACTTTCTGAGAGTGGTATGGCTCTTGACAACATGTGGGCTCCACCAGCAGCACTCATAGGGGATGGGCCTACCAAGACAGTGGGTAACCAGGCCCCTGGGCAGACACAGGCCCTCCAGACTGCCTCCTTAAGGGATGGCCCGGCGAAGCGGGCTGTGTGGGTCGGCCGTAGTTCAGAGCCACAAGAACCTACTGAATCAAAGGCAGCCACGGAGAGACCCAAGCAGGAGGTGACCAAAGCAGTGGTCGTGGACCTGGGCACTGGCTACTGTAAATGTGGCTTTGCTGGCCTGCCAAGACCCACCCACAAGATCTCCACAACAGTGGGCAAGCCCTACATGGAGACCGCTAAGACTGGGGATAATCGCAAAGAGACATTCGTGGGGCAGGAACTCAAAAACACAAATGTTCATCTTAAGCTACTTAATCCTCTGCGACATGGCATCATCGTGGACTGGGATACAGTGCAGGATATCTGGGAATATCTCTTCCGACAAGAGATGAAGATTGCCCCGGAGGAGCATGCAGTCTTGGTTTCAGACCCACCGCTGAGCCCACACACCAACAGAGAGAAGTACGCGGAAATGCTGTTTGAAGCCTTCAACACCCCTGCAATGCACATCGCCTATCAGTCCCGCCTGTCCATGTACTCCTATGGAAGGACCTCCGGCCTGGTGGTGGAGGTTGGCCATGGCGTGTCCTATGTGGTCCCCATCTATGAGGGTTATCCTTTGCCCAGCATCACCGGAAGACTAGACTACGCAGGCTCTGACCTGACAGCCTACCTGCTGGGCCTGCTGAACAGTGCAGGGAATGAATTCACCCAGGACCAGATAGGCATCGTGGAGGACATCAAGAAGAAATGCTGCTTTGTGGCCCTGGATCCCATTGAAGAGAAGAAAGTCCCTCTCAGTAAGCATACCATGCACTACGTGCTGCCGGATGGAAAGGAGATTTACCTGGGCCAGGAAAGGTTCCTCTGCTCAGAGATGTTCTTCAAGCCGTCTCTCATCAAGTCCATGCAGCTGGGCCTCCACACCCAGACTGTGTCCTGCCTTAACAAGTGTGACATCGCCCTCAAACGGGACCTCATGGGGAACATCCTGCTCTGCGGGGGCAGCACAATGCTCAGTGGCTTCCCTAACCGCCTGCAGAAGGAGCTAAGCAGCATGTGTCCCAATGATAGCCCACAGGTAAACGTGTTGCCTGAGAGAGACAGTGCCGTGTGGACCGGTGGCTCCATCCTGGCCTCACTTCAGGGTTTCCAACCACTGTGGGTCCGCCGCTTTGAGTACGAGGAACATGGGCCTTTCTTCCTCTACAGAAGGTGCTTCTGAACGGCGATGAGGATGGCCGCTGCACTGGCAGTGCATGCCCTTGGCTGGGTGAGCACGCTCCTACACACAGCAGGGGGAGCCGGGCTTATTCCTGTAACATTAAACATTCCTCACATGCCCCTCCACAGTGTTTCTCTGCTTTCTGACCTAGTAAGAACAACTTCACACAAGCCGCATCTGCCTTAAAATATACATTTCCCAAAACAAAAGCAAGAGTAGGGGAAGGATGAACAAAAAAGGACATGCATTGCATGCGGATGCTTAAACATTCACTTGCTCTAAAAGTATGCTGCCCCTTATTTTGTGCATTTCCCACTTTCAGAACTACTTTAAGGTTAAACTCTGCTTGGAAGGGGGAGTGCAATGAAGATTACAGGGTAAATGCTGTTGGGGCATATAAGCAGTTCCCTTTCGGTAAATGCCAACAGGAAATATGCTGTAACAGGGCAATCTCCCACAAAGCATCAGTGTCCACTTTACACTTCATCAGCAACCCTGAGGGCTTGGAAAGAGCTGGCAAAGCTGTCTGAGTCCTTTTTAACAGGAGTTTATTTTAGTTCCAACAGTCCATTTATGTCTCAATACCAGTTCTTACTAAGCCAACACAGTGATGGGCTGCCGAAGCCTAGCATATTACAAGCAAGGCGCATGTAGGTGCCTTAAAGGGCAACTCTTCAGAGAACAAGTGCTATACAGATTTCCTTTTTTTTTTTTTTTTTTTGAGACAGAGTCTTGCTCTGTCTCCAGGCGCCAGGCTGGAGTGCAGTGGCGCGATCTCAGCCCACTGCAACCTCCGCCTCCCGGGTTCAAGCAATTCTCCTGCCTTAGCCTCCCAAGTAGCTGGGACTATAGCCGTGCACCACCACGCCCAGCTAATTTTTGTATTTTTTAGTACAGATGGGGTTTCACCATGTTGGCCAGATCTCTTGACCTCATGATCTGTCCGACTTGGCCTCCCAAAGTGCTGGGATTACAGATTTCCCTTTTTAAAAACTGAAGTAAGGTTTATCTTGGGTTATCACTAGAGGTTAGGGATTGAAGCCACAGTCATTCTCTAGACACTTCATCTCCCAGCTGACTGGATTCTCCATTAGCCTATAACACACACAGTTGGAGTGTGGGATGTGCTCAGGATAGAGGCTGCTGGTTCTGCGGCTGATGGTGTGGGTCTGTGGGAGGCTGCCCTATGTGGGTCATTCTAACCCAGCTGGGGAGTGGGAGCCCAAAGGAATACGGAGACTCTTAGTAGCCAGGAAGCCCTTCCAGGGCCCAGCAAGCTCCATGGTAATCCTGCAGGGGGAGTCTGTAATATGAGCACTTTAAATTGGAGATTCTTTAGAACAGCCCCCAATACACTCTCTGTCCTGTCTTTAAAGTTCAGAATCTGAACACTAGTGGGTGCATACAATAGTGAACAGAACATGGGCTCTGGACTCTGGGGTATGAAACGCTATTTTGCTACCCCCAAGCTGTGTGACTTGAGTTTGTTTGCTTGCCGGCAAAACTGGGTATGAATGCCTACCTCACACAGCTCATTTTAAAAACAGTGAAAAACATCTGAATGCCAGTATCTAGACTCCTGGAGGTGCTCACAATAGCTAGCTAGTATCTTTAGGTTTCTTCCTCTTACACAGAAAGCCAAAGTCTCTTACTATAGTCCTTAGTCACACAGGCACTCAAAGGCACATTCTGTTGGCACCTCAGCCATCTCCAAGGAGAAGCCCTCCAGAGCCACTCTCACAGATTCCAGGTTTGCCTAGACAGCCTTGAAAGGCCTAAAGCGCCTGACCCTGGAACCAGGTCTGGTGAGTAAGAGTATCTGGCTGGCACCAGCAAAGAGAAAGCCACAGAGGGGCATGTGAGGATGCTATGGTTCAGCAAGGATGACTAAGTCTTATGCTGGACTGTCAAGGAATCAGGAGTTGGGTACACTGACCTGAGAGAGAGGGACATCTTTACCTCAGTTTCTGCCCAAACCGTTCTGCTGTCAACACTCCATGATCATTTACTGAGGGGCAAGTTGAAGTCTGATTAGTTCTTAACCTTTGGACCTCTCTGGCAGGATGGTAAACCCATGAACCTCTTCTTAGAATCATGTTTCAAAATGCGTAAAATAAAATGCATGACTACAGAGGAAACCTATCATATAGAAATACGCTCTATCTACTGATCCCTTAGGGGTATATGAACCCCACATCAAAGATCCCTAAAAGGGAAAGGGTCTTAATGAAGAGGAGGATTGAAAGGTGGTTCTGGAGGATGGACGTCTCCAGACGTTCCTGGGCCTCAATGTTCATTTTTAAACAAAAAATGTCAATTGAAGGCTGAGCAACTGTGCAGTCTTTTTCAAAGCACTTTAAGAATTTTCTCACTTGATCCTCACAAGTATGCCCTAGTAGAAAAAAAGAATCTCCTCTTAAAAAAAGATAGTTTTACTAAATATTTGGAAGTTAACATAGTTCTCAAGTGGGGGCCACTTTGGCCTGTAGGGGACATTTAACAGTGTCTAAAGATATTTGTAATTCTCATCACAGGAGTGGGAGTGTGTACTACTAGCATCTAGGGGTAAGAGGCTAGGGAAGTTGTTAAAAATCTTATGATGTGCAGGGCAGCACCTCCCAACACCCAAAGAAAGACTGATATGAACCAAAATGTTAACAGTGCCATTGAGAAACTCTGATTAGCTTGATGGGCACACACAAGACTGAAGGAAAGCAAGGCTCAGTGAGATTGACTTTGCCCAAGAATGCTAAGATGGTTGGACACATGGCCCAAAGCCTTGTTCTTTCCTTTATACCAGGAAGACAACTGTTGTTCTTAAAGGTTCTGGGACTTTAGAGCCAGTAATAGAGGTGGAGCAGCTCACTGCAGGCACAGGCAAGGACTCAGGGAGCACAGAGAACCCAAGAACACATGAATCCAAAGCAGGCCTTCAGCACTGCTAAATGTTACCAAATTAGCCTTGTCTTATCTATGGCCTCGTGAATATTTACAGCTACCTAGCTCCTAAGATGTTTATTCTCACCCAATTACTAATAAACATGACAGACACGAGAGAACAGCCAAAGACGCCTAAGGGCTTGTCCAGGTGGTGCTTCCAGAGGATATGGAAGTACAATAACCAACAAAAGAGGAAGAACAAATCTAATTTTGCTTCTGAAATTTGCAGTCACCTTAAGTTACTAAGCATTGTCAGTTTTACTTATTTTTAAAAACACCCTTTTCAGTTATTGCTATGACAAATCTCTCAAATGTATATGCATATACATGCATATATAATTAAATTTAAAATATGCAGCAGGGCTAAGAAGTTATGCCAAGCTACATCCATATCAGCATACTAAAAAAATTAAAATTGTTCCTGCTCAGTTTTTTGTTTTTTAGACAAGTCTCACTCTTGTTGCCCAGGCTAGAGTGCAGTGGCATGATCTTGGCTCACTGCAACCTCCGCCTTCCTGGTTTCAAGCGATTCTCCTGCCTCAGCCTCCTGAGTAGCTAGGATAACAGGTGCCTGCCACCATGCGCTGCTATTTTGTGTGTGTATGTTTTTAGTAGACACAGGGTTTCACCATGTTGGCCAGGCTGGTCTCAAACTCCTGACCTCGTGATCCACCCACCTCAGTCTCCCAAAGTGCTGGGGTTACAGGCATGAGCCATTGTGCCTGGCTTCAGTTTTTTACAAAGCATTAATTTAAAATGGACTTTGACTAAAGAAGACCGTCTCCTGCAAGTTCCCTCTGAAGTTTAGAACATCTGAGCAAAGCTATCTGACTCAATGGAACGAAGAAAAGTGAAGGTTTTAGCTTATTGCAGCATGAACTTGCTTTGGGATAGAGTCCAAATTTATGTACTCTTTTCTAAGGCTTGACAGAATCTTTCCCCAAAATGAACCATTCATCACTCAGAGGAGTTTTCTCCTTTTCTCATACACTCCATTTTCCCCCATGAATTCTTCTTGGCTTTGCCTCAATTTGGAAGGTCTCTTCCTGCTTCCTTCTTCTGAAAATGAAAAAAATCCAATCCTTCTCAGATGAAAGAAACAGTAATTAATAGCAATTTGCACTCAAACAAATTATGTCTTGCTGCTTCAATACATTATTTAAGGAAACTGAATGTCCATGAAAATTCACACCATTATCAATAGACACATTTACTTCTATTTCCAATCTATCAGCATGGGTCCCATTACAATTACCCAAAGCAAGAGCACTATAATATATTTAAATACCATATAAGTTACCATGCTTATTTACTTATGCCAATGAGTGGTTACAAAGTACTTGCAGCCTTTCAATACTGGGCACTTAATTACAGCAAATCTATTAGGAGTATAAGTCAAAAAGTAGCTTTCTCCAAAGCAAAGTATATCTTCTTCCTCTTCTTTTAAAAAAATCCTATTAGTTTGTGAAAATGTTCGAACATACTGAAAAGTTGTATTACACAGTGAATACCCCCAGACTGATTCTATAGTTAACATCTTGCTATACTGGGAAAGGCTTCAAAATTACAATTTGGGCTATATCAATTCTTTGAGGATCAAAAGTAGCATTTCCTGTTAGTTTATGTACAATGCTATAGTTTGGGCATTTGTTTCCCTAAACCTCATGTTGAAATGTGATCCCCAATGTTTTTGAAGTAGGGCCTAATGGGAGGTGTTTTGGTCACAGAGGCAGATCCTATGTGAATGGCTTGGTGCCAACCTCATGGTAATGAGTGAGTTTTCACTCATTAGTTCCTTTGAAAGCTGGTTGTTATTATAGAGACACAAATGGACTAAAATATATAGTAAAGAAGGTCTGGTTCTGATATTTAAAATACGAAAGAATTTTTAACCTTACCCAAGAATTAGCCACACAACTGTTATCAGAATTAACTGGGCGTTTTCTAGACTCACCATAAAAAGAAAATATTCTCATTTTGAGAGGTTTTTTTTTTTGGGTGGGGGGGTGGAGAACTGTATAAAAGACAGGTAAGTACTACAAAGAAAAATAAATGAAGTGAACTAGACTAACAAAAATATCTGAGTTAAAGAAAGCAGTATTTGGAGAACAGAGAAGAATTCACAACCATGCATGCCATACAATGCACACTGATCACTCACACCAAATGTGCATGATACTGTT